GACGCCAATGAGGCAATACTTTTTCAGAGCTCGAATTTTTGACTATTGTTACCTGATTTTTACTATCATTGGTTGCCATTTCATTATGAACAGACTTACACCGGAGCAAGGTTTGCAAATAGTGAAAATTTATTATCAAAATAATGGTTCGGCTCATGCGACATATCGCGAACTGCGTCCAACATTCGATCGACATAATCGCTCAGAAGAGTGGGTAATTCGAGCATTCTTGGATTTGTTTCACACCTCGTTTACTTTAATACACGTTATGGCAGATTTTGAGAAAAGATCTGTGTTTCTGTGAAAATTGAAGCAGAACGTTCATCAAGCGCGTTCATCCGATGAAATTTTATACAGCAATGGAAGTCACTTTTAGTGTAATAAGTATGTCAATAAACACCATTTTGAGTGTGCTCTATGGGCAGAGGAAATTTTTGGTCCATATTTCTTCAAAAACGAAGTCGGCCATAATGTTACAGTCAAGTGCGAGTGCTATAGTGCGATAATTAATGACGATTTCGTGCCTGTATTGGGATATGTTGCTGTAAACGACCTTTGATTCCAGCAGGAAGGCACTACATATCCAGAGCCGCGACAAAATACTCAAAGCGCTAGCCGACAGCACCTTGGGTAAAGACATATAAACTTTGCTGGCAACTTATAAAGCAATTGGCAGTCCGGTCGTAAACTATGCTGTAGCGATCTGGGTGCCGGGGACGAACGAGACGCAGACGAAGAAGCTACAGGATTGCCAGAACAGCACTCTGAGGACTGCGACAGGAAACCTCCTGATGTCGCCCAAGCATCACTTGCAAAGCGAAGCATCTATGCTACGAGTTAAGAAGCATAATATTTTACTGTGCAAACAGTTTCTATTGGGATATTGCCGCAGAAAGCTGAACAGGACGGCGTACAGACAAGCACTGAACGCCATTCACCAGTAGTCAGTCAACACCTTCAAAGACTCCATTCCAGTGAATGGCATGCTCGTAGTAAAATCACCACCCATAGTAGACAAGGAGCTCGAGCTGCCTCGAGAGACTCGCAACTTGGCTTTGGATACTGTAGCATGTAAAACTCCTACTTATCCATACTCGACTCCAGCATATTCAACATATGCCCTGCATGTGGAGAGTCTCCTCACTAAACTAACCACCTCTTCATATGCCCCCTTAAACCGACTCATCTAACCCCCCTCTCCCTTTGGTCCAATCCCATCGAAACAGCCCGTTTCCTAGAGCTCCCATTAAAAGACCTCGGCGACTTAGATTAATCAAACTTGCACCGAAGCGGGGTTAGAAAACCGCTACAACAACAACAATAACATATAATATGAGCAACGAAACATTTAATTTATTGAAGGAAACTTACGATGAGCGCTTTATCTCAGTTTCCGGCCGGGGATGTGGCTTCCGAGATTTAGCACTGCTGGAGTATTTTTTATGGGCTTATATGAAGAGTATGCAGATAACGCCGAGATGATTGATGCCTTGGAAGTGAATATTCAGGGCATTACTGCTGACACGGTAGCCGCGTGGTTAGCATTGCGTACTGCAATTCGGAAAAGTTGTAACCGAAAAACTATTTTTTATCTGCCGATGTCCCACAGTGCGGGGTGGAGCTCATGATCGATTCTTCTTTGCTTATGCGTGTATGTAATATCTTGTTTGTACATATAAGGTGTGGGTAGTGCTTGAAGTTTGATCGATGAAGTATATGAAAATGGAATATGAAAAATATTCCCATGAGCTGAGCGAACATAGCACAAGTTTACCCAATAAACCATTACGTTTGAGTTATAGTCAGTCTATAAAACAAGGAGCCTTTAGTGTTCTCATTACTTTTGAAAATTGGAAAAAGTCAACCGAAGCCAGGTCTATCGGACAGGTAGACTGGGTCATCATTTGAATCCTATAGTTCCTCGCCAACACTAATGAAATCAATAGAGGTGTGGGCAGAGGCATTTTGGCGATGCAATGGATGGTGGATTGCGTTGAACTTGTGGCCAGTTAGCACTCTGCATTGTATTGAAGGTTGTGGCTGGAATTTATGATGCGTCATGCCTTCAAAATCGGAGAACGCAGTGAGCAAACATACCTTAACCTTGAAGCATTTTTCGTTCTTGGTTAGCCAGAACGCCATAGCTGACTCTTAGTTTCGACATCGTATCTGAAAATTCATGTTTTGTCACCGGTTTTAGCATGTTTCACTGAGAAACTCGCAAGCTTCCCTGGTTTTGCTCAGAACTTGGTCCACTCCATGGCCTCATAGATAGCAACATACGTTGACTTAAGCTGAAACTTGAAAGGAAGGCGTCGGACTTCACATTACAACAACGACAAAGTGCTCATAAGGAACTGAAAAGGATGTGTCCAGGAATTTTTGATAGTCAGCCTACGTTGACTGTTGGCGTTGACTTGTTGGCGAACCGTCTTTGTTGTTCTGTGAATAGCTGCTGAGTCGCAAAAATATCGAAGCGGATGGTAGCTGGTGGTAAACAGTGGATCACTATGTGGGTATATAAGTTCTTAGAATGCTATATCTAGTGGTTCCTTGGAAAATAAACCCAGCAGATGATGATAAGCAGTAGGTTGCGGCTAGAATAATAAAAAAATAAGTGAAAAATAATAAACATTAATAAAAAAAAATTTATTTTTATTAAATTTTGGAGCAACAACAAAAAATCACAGTTTCTTGCGAGTCACTATCACTTCTGGGCGTTCGCTTTCTTCCGGTGGACAAATAAAGAGTTCGGCCGTAGGGAGTAACACAAAACCTTCCTGGTCGTCTGTTCTGGCCTGGAGACTCTTCATGCCGAAACACTGCCCTTCGGCCACCCCCGTTCTCTTTTGACACTGCTCTAAGTCACAATTCGTCCTTATAGAATCTCGGGTTTAGCCCAATAAAGACATCTAGTATAAAAATAATGGATGAGTTGTTACTTAACCAATAATATATTTGACTGTAGAAGCATCGGGCTAGAAATAAAATTTTGAAATAAAAAAACAATTCGTCCTTTTTTATTAGATTTCAATTAGAAACACAAAATATTCGAAAAAGGTAAAGCAAAATTAGGTTTCAGCGAAGTGTAAACTTTTTTTTAACAAAGCTTACTGAATAAACTCTGCTGTTGTAAAATCAAGTTTAAAAGAGATGGAGGCAAACAACAACAGTCACTTTGCGCTAAGAATCGTAGAAGCAGCAACGAATCCATAGAAAGCAATCATCAATTTGCAAAAATTATGTTCAAAATAAAGCAAGAAGCGCACTTACATAAATATATGTTTGTAAGCATGTATATAGTATTTATAAACATTTGTATATAAATACAAACGCCCTATGTTTATGCATGTATGTTTGTAAAGAATACATAAACCTGCGAAGAAAGGGAGGGAAAGCAAGAAATTTTCGTAGAACTTTATATACAGAGTCTCGCTGAAATACTTTCTGAAACGCCAGTAACATACCTACATTTACAACCAGGCATACACACATACATAAATATGTATTTAAGTATTTTTCCCATAAAGCCCTAACGCAGACTCATTACGAAGTCTCTCCACCGTCGTCAACACCGCCATTTCTTTCTACAAGACATTTGCATAGAACTTGCTCATTTATACAAACCTACAGAAATACATACTTGTATACATACATTTGTATGAAATTAGATATAAAGAAGTGCACATACAAACATATACACCCCACTTTTCACCTTGCATTTTGAACTTGAGTCTTACTTTTGAAGCTGCCGCCGCCCGTCACTCTTTATGGTTCACCCATAGGCGAATATTTTTTTCCTTTGTATATATGTAACAATTGCTCGTGGGGGTCGATGTGGCGGCACACTGTACTCATTATATGGTGTAGATTTGTATGTTGGAGGTATTGTGTGTAGATGTCGCGACACGCAGAGGTGTACGTTGATTCTAACGCGAATTTTAATAAATTTTCAACCGTGCACTTCATGAAGAGTCAACTTACTAAGATTGCTGGTCGCCTGTTACCTCTTCGTACATCTCATTACATGATGTCACTATCAGACAACGCCAATGGTTGGTTGTGTATATAATGCGTGAGAGAGTATAGGTGTTGTTGCTGTTCAACATAAAGCAATGAAATGTTGTTGTTTGTTTGCAGTTAAGGAATTTAGTTTTTTATTTATTGTTTGTTTTATTTAGTTTATTAAATCTTGATTCTTTTATTTATTTTGTACATTAAAAGTATAATAAAATAATTAAAATAATAAAAGGAAATTAAAAAAAAAAGATATCAAACAAGTTAATTAATGTAAAACAAAATTAAACAAAACAAAATTAATTTAATTAAAAATAAGAAGAAAAATATAAACTGCACTATTTATTTATAAAATACAATAATGCAAAGTAAAATAAAATCAAATTAAATTAAAAAAAGTAAATAAAATTAAATGAAATAAAATAAATGAAATTAAAAAAAAAACTAAAAATAAAACAAATTAAAAAAATGGCATAAAATAAAAAAGACAAAATAAAATAAAATAAGATAAAATATATTGAAATATAAAAATATAATATACAACAAAAAATAAGAAAATAAAATAAAAACGAAAATATTTTAATAACATAAAATAAAATAGTATGTAAAGCAAAAGAAACTAAAGTCAATCAAAATAAAAGAATACACAATGGAATAACTTTAAAAAACATAAAAGAAAATGAAAGAAAATAAAGAGGAAAAAATTAAATTAACAAAATGAAAATTAAAAGAATTAAAAATTAATTAAATTCAAATAATTATTTGATTTTGTTTTTTTTTTCAAATAGTTTTATTTTACTTTATATTATTTTATTTTATTTTATTTTATTTTATTTTATTTTATTTTATTTTATTTTATTTTATTTTATTTTATTTTATTTTATTTTATTTTATTTTATTTTATTTTATATTATTTTATTTTATTTCATTTTATTTATGTTTTATTTTATTTTATTTTATTTTAAATAATGTTTCGAACTGTACATCATATCCTGAAGTGATGTCAAACAATGGTTTCGGCAACTTATCTTTATGCAGCTTCTTTTTTTTTTAAGTGAAAAATAATAAAGCTCATACCGAAGCAGCCTAGTAGGACAATTATCGGAGGGAAAAACACATGGGATATAGTGTTCATGTTCGTATACGCTTCACTTATCACTTTCGAGGCTGAACATATTCTTATTGAACTAATGACAGAAGCATTTGGAAAACAAAAATAAAACCAAAAAAAGATTCCATATTTTTTCTTCCAATTCACTTGAAACATGTCCGTATCGGTTGTCGCATCGCATTGACGGTTAAAATGCGACTGGCAATGCAATACCCACAATGTCGACGAATGAGTCCACAAATGCAATATATGTACATGCATATCTGCATGCATACTTATGTACGTGTGCGAGTTGCCAATGACCACAACTTTGGTTCGGAACAGCAGACTGGGGGTTGCTTGATTTTCATCGTGCAACAAGCATTGAGCGCCAACAACAACAAAGTTGAGTACACATCCCAACATAAGTATGTATGTATACATGAACCATGTACATAGACAGTTGTAAAGTGAAATTTGTTGACCATGCGCCGCCTTCGCTGTGCGCAGAGGAGCAAAGTTAATAATGCACTTGTTCGTATCGCAAAGTGTTCAAGTTCTGAACGAGTAGTGGACAAAAAAAGAATGTATGTATGTTGTTAATGTTTGAAGTTGTGGGTTGTGGGTTCTTAAATATATTTTCAATAAAATAAGTAAATCATTCTATACCATTATATTTCACAACCCCGTACCCCATTTTCTTAAATTTATCAGTGAATGTTTAATGCATGTTTTTATAAAAAATGTATATATGTACATATGTATGTTTAGTATTTTAAGTAAATATGTGTTCATGCTACTTGCTTTTCAAAATCATTTGAATTTTTTTTTAAACAAATAGACTAGAACACTTCTGGATTTAAAATATTAAAAATACCAAGATTTTTATAACAAATTTAAATATTAATGCAATAAAAATGTATATATATATTTTATATTTTGTTTTAATCGTACTTAATTTAAAATATTAATCACATTTAAAGGACGCCACAGGAATAATTTATATTTTATTAAAATCAAGAGATTGATATTTGAAAAGTTTTAAGAAATTTTATTTGTTTCGAAAATATTGCTTGTTTTGAAAAAAAAACTAAATTTTTATTAGAAAAATTTTACCGAAAAAAGGAAAATTAAAAAAAAAAATTTCTTAATATTTTTTTAAATTTTATACGAATTCGACACAGTGCGCGAAAATGCAATTCCCCCTATGGGCGTTTTTGGTTTACACTCATAGTATATTTATAATATGAATACATCAAACGTGTTTGTGTGTATTAGAATCGATGTGCATGCATACATACGTACATACATACATATACAATATTATGTGTGCAAGTCTACGCCGCGTTGCATTCACATTTGCACTGCTTGCACTTGTGCATACACACTTATATACATATGTACATGCCTGTCGGGTTGGGTGGCGGCAGACGTTCAAGCGCAATGCAAAAAAAAACCGAAGAAAAACCAAATACAACACATCGCGGTGATGGTGTAAAATCAGCCTACAGCAAACTCTGGACGCCTGTTACCATTCAGTACATGTTGTTACTCGATGTCGGACGTTAAACCGGCGACGTCGAACTCTTTTGATTGTGTAACAAACATCAACAGCCAACCGACGACGACCAACCGACCAGCCCCATCACATCCATCCACTCAGCCATAATACGTCCATCCAAGCAACCAAACAACCAAACAACCAAACAACCAACCATCGTTCACTGAACCTTGCGAATTGTGAAAACAGGTTTACTCCGGCCGTTTGACGTTTAAGTAAACCATTGCGATGTTGTTGACTCCGGTGGAATAGCGGCGTTAGGCTTTGTGTGTAAATCTAATCTGAAATGCAGGAATAAAAAATTGAGAATTTTTTGCACTTTTTGCATTTTACAATATACACGTATGCAGGCATATATATGTATGTATGTATATATGTAGATATGTTAATACAATTATCTTTCAAGGCAGCAGCTTGCTGTTTGCATTTTGCATTAAATATATTGAAGAAAGTATATATGTACATATGTGCATATGTTACATACATATAAGTCCCTTGTGAGCGTACTCATATATTCTCACTGCACCTGTTGGAAGGAAAAACAGTGTGGCTTATATGTCAACTTACTCAATTAAAAATCATCTCGTTATTATGGCATCTTTTTATAGCGTCAATATTGATTAGTAATATATATATATATAATATTATTTAATGTTCTAAAAAAGTGGCAAACATTTCCTATTATTATATTTAATCATTTAATAAAATTGTTTAGTTTTTATTAATCAAACAGACGAGCTGAGCTGTTAATGAACGTTATGTTTCTGTAATCATAAACCAGCGATTGTCCGTTTAAAGAACAACAGAGCGGCTGGAGCTGATGGCCTACCGGTAGAGCATATGGTCGGGTCGGACGGAAACTTGCCCGACGATTGGCGTTCAAATTTACCCTGCCCAATCCATAAAACAATGGCCCCAACAGTATGGGCTTACCTTCTTTAAAACGTTATCAAACTGGCCTTAGACCAGTTTTTTACCATGCGACAATATTGTAAGCCTCGCTTTCCAACAGTTGCTACTTTGACCTCTCTCAACGAACCAAAACTTATCTCTATTAGTATCCCATCATTCCCGTTCTACAACCTATATGGTGCAAAAGTGTTGGCGATATCGACATCCGAGAAGGCGGTCCTCTTATCGGTTATCTTCTAGGGAAAAGTTTTGCGAACGATTTATGGCCCTTTCCGCATTGGCAACGGCGAATACCGCAAACGATGGAACGATGACCCATACGAATTATTCGCTGACATTGCCGTAGGTGTATAAATGAAAAGACACCAGTCTTGAAAGTATTCAGTACCCGCTGATGGAAGCAGAGGAAGACGTAAACCGCCACTTCGTTGGATGGTTCAAATCGAGACCGAATTGGTTTCCCTTGGCATTTCCAGCGAAAGTTGTCGCGAAAGCAGTGCCTGCATAAATGAAGAAGAAGAAGAAGAAGAAGAATGGAAGACGTTATTACGTGAAGAATGGAAGACGTTATACGGGGATAAATGTGCAAGCAAATAGAAGTACGAAACGCTGTTCTGAAATGCAAACGTTTACAGAGATTAAAGATGATGCAATCTAATTATGAATTCTTTTGAAGGCATCTCCTATTCACCGGTTCCTCCACAACTAGAATTTAACAAAAAAACTTGCCTTTTTATCTAACCTTTTATCCAAAAGGTATAGAGTTGACGCTTTGTAACCGCTGAAACTGATTTCGGCCGAGCTCTTCCTCCAATTTGTGGTTTTACCACTTGATATTTTTCAAAAAAGGAAGAAACCTCGTTTAAATAAACCACATCTCAGAGAGTGGGCTTGTCTGAAAACTCGTTTAGTACGGAAAGTCTCAAAAAGTTGCTCCCAATTCTGATGTCACTGTTCACAGCTGTTTTACCTACAGAGTAATAACAAATCCAGACATAGCGTTGTACAGGCGTCTTGCTTTCTTATTGCCGAGGGTGCTGTGTGGCGTGCTGTTTCTTTGCTCATAAGTATTTTTTAGAATTTGTCGCTTGATGAATTTTGATCAATGTCGGTTCTATCTGGTTCAGATAAAAAAAGTGATTCCTTTAAGTATTCCATATAAAAAGACCACATTTCAGCTCTTCATTCAAAACCACAAGTGAAAAACAAAATGGCTTGCAATTATTTAAGGAGATTTATAAGAAGCCCATAATATTTGAAATCTAAGCTCTAAACTTCATAACGGACATCTATAGAAAGCTCCATAAACTCCCAACTATCTAGCTTGTCATAAGGTAGTCCATAGCAGAGCTCCAGGTATGCGGGTATCGAGCAGCTCGATACTAGCTCGATACGCGTTCATTGCTCAACTGCTCAAATGATAATTGGGAAATTCTCAAAAATTATACAAGTCTTTTCAGTATTCCAATGAGTTTTACTCTTTGCATAAATAAAATAAAAACCATGATTAAAATTACAGAAAGGAGTTCTGAGAAGAAAATCAAATTTTTTATTGAAAATTCTCGAGAAAGCTCGATAATGTTCGAAAAAAATCTTTGGGTCTAGTCTCACTTCAAAAAAAAAAAAAAAGATACAAAAAATGTCAAGAAATTCTATTTCAGAGCACAACGAGGAGTATGAAAGCAGAATTCAGTAGCCGCAATCAAAAATGAAAGCAACGAAAGTGAAAGCAAAAAATACTAGTGGCAATTTTTGCAGAGCTCACTCAGTTCCTCAACGGCGGGAAGGCCCGAAAATCACAAAAAAAAAGAATTAAATGCGGCGCAAATTACGGCGACAAATGCAAAGCGCTGACAAACTAGGTCGCTGCGACAAGTGTCATGGAGAGGGTGAGTTTGAGGCTTATGCAAATTAGTTGGTGGAATGTATGTACATATGTACGTGTATGTAGCAGTGTTAGGCGACCGAGAGTCACATACAGTTGCGCTGTCAGTCAAACAAAAGTGCTGACACACCGAGTATTTGCACAGTGGTGTGACTTAACATAAATTCCAAACAAAATATGTACGAATGCAAAGATTTGTTGAAATATTTTTTCCAAATAGACTACTGTTCCTGCGATTGAGTTTGTTAGTTATCAGTAGCAAACGTTGTTTTTGTGTGTCAGTCCACTTTTTCCCACAAACATACTTACATATGTATGTATATATTTACAAATGCATGTTGTATTGTGCCAATGGAGGTTTCGTCGTGAGAGAGAAGAAGGCGGCATGCAATTGAAACGCGATTTTCAAGAAAAAAAAGACAAAAAACAGAAACGTTTATTAAAAAAGCAACTGTCACAAACAGCCTGTCAGCCTGTTCCCTCTCAGTACATCGCGTTACTCGGTTGTGCTGCCGTCAAGTCACTTGTCGTCAATGTTGACAAAAAAAAAAAAACGAAATATAACAAAATAATTGCAAATAAATCCAAACGCTATGACCGTGCTGTGTGCTATGCATCGCGTGTACAAGCGAGTTTGTACGAGTGTATTGTTGTTATTGGCTAGATAAGTGACTTTTTTGGTGGGGTGTTTTTTCTAATACTGCAATACTTTTACTTGCACTTTGTATATCCAACCGTAACATGTTTTGTAAGGTACAGTTGATGTGTTCATCCAAGGTAATAATTAACTCATTGGCATCAATGCAAAACTCTCATGGGGATTTCAAGAAGAAATAAAAGCTTATCATTATCAGCACAAATTAAACTTTATTCCAAAATTAGGAGTTTGACAGCCGCCGCGGCTGGCTCGAATAAATTATCCAGCTGTGTTATTGGCTAGATAAATGATGGTGTTGGAGGCCAAGTCAGAGGTCTACGACGCGAGATAATGCGTTCATCAAAGTTTTCGATAAATAAATGGATTGTTTAGTTGGCTTCATAGCATGTAGAGCCATCTTGTTGGAACCCAAAGTCGCCCATATCAACATCCTCCAATTCAAGCACGGAAAAGTCATTTAGCATGGCTCCATAGCGTTCCCATTCTTGACTGTAACATTATAGCCGACTTAATTTTTGAGGAAATGTGGACTAAAGACTCCCTCTGCCTATTGAGCACGCTAAACAATGATTTTTCGAGGACGTAACGGCGTCTTAGTAATGGCGACCAAAAGTCAAAGTCAGAATCGAGATCGGAAAAGAATGGGATATCATTCTAATGACTTATGCCGCAGCTGCAGGGATGAAGAAGAGGATGCGACCACCGAGCCCTACCTCTGCCACTGTACAGTCTTGACATCAGCGCGATACAAATTTCTTGGGAAACATTTCTTCGATTTTCTCACTGAGATAGCCTCAGCGAATATTGGAAATCTTGTTGCCTTGATAAGGCACCCGAAATGGTTCGATCATCTGAGAAGGTCAAGGCAGGTGCCTCAGCGGTATCACAAAGTGCCTATTGGTTTAAGTGTGCTGGGGTTGATTAGCAGCCGCATCAACTCAACTCAACTCACGTCAGAATCGTTGGTCATCTGCTCTTCGAAGGTCTTCTTCCATACCTCGCTTCACAGCATCAATTGCGCCTTCGATGTGCATTATCCACTAGAGTGAATATGGTGCGAAACCGATCCAAGATTACTCGCATTACCGACGATGGCAACAGAGCTGTTCTCGCTGTCCAACTGGCATTTACTATTATACATTTGAACCGAATGTGGGTTACGCCATACAAACCCAATATTTTTCCACTCCGCAAAGCCTTACAAACAATGTAATCGTCGGAAGACGAAATTAATGCGGGCCCAAAATGCGGTCATCATTGCCTTAGAGCAAAAAATCCAGCATCTTCCAAGAAGGAGTATTCGCCATTACCTCATACTCAAAAAAAAAAGACCGTTAATCAACATTAATTTGCATTGTCTGCTAGGCTGCACTGATGGGCAATTAAATCACATATGGTATAGGAATGTGTCGGTGATCCAAATGAAGTGGAAGAACAAATACAAAAATCGGCTCATCAGGGTTGCGAGATATGAAATATCCAATAATTTACTCGCGAGAGAAGTGACTTCAGTCTTGCCTGCGCGACTAGAGACCCACTTTCTTACATGTCCACATATAATTATTATGGAATTAAGAAACGAGAAAAGAGAAAAGAAACATGTACTGGTATACTACAGCTGGCATTAAACATTCAAAAAAGCTCAAAAAACATGTAAAAACATTTATGTCTTTTCTATCCTTCTTATTTTAAACCCAATATATTCAGGGTTCATAGTAGATATTTTATTAAAATTACCTGATTCTACGAAGTGCGTTGTAGGGCCAGTTAATCAACACCAACAAATGCCAAACTTTCGCTTATTAAAATGAGGACTTTAGAATCTTTCGCTTCAGCTAGTCATATCAATCCCTCCCTATACAAACCAATAGATCTGCAAATTGGAGTATGTAGAACTGTCGTCTCTTGTTGGCGAATCCAATATTATTGAAAATCGGTTTTTTTCGAATTACACTTCTGTGAAAACAAATCCAGTTTCTACAATAAACTATTTTTAGCGAGATCGGCTGATTTTCGAAGCGGAAAACCCAGCATTAAAACTAAAGGTTCTTGCTCCAACATATCTATAGCATTGGCATGGATAACAAGAATGACTCCACGGTGCTAGTCACTAGATGTTGTTGTTACTCTTATTTCGGCCAACAGTAAACCGATTGTTCCAAACTAAAACCTGTCTGAGAGCCGACACCTCGAACAATTCTTTACGTGGAGACAGAAGTTTGTAAACTGTCATTAATGTGAAAATATTATTCGGCAGAGGTCCGACGTAGCCGCATTATTCTGCTGTCTAGTACCTCGTAATTTTCGGTTCCACCCAACTTTGCTCCAGCCTGCTTATCGCATTGGCATGAACCAAGTATCTAAGTATTTTCTATTGTATTTCAGTGAGAGATTATTGCAGCTATAAACTAATTGCATATGTATATGTGTTTGTCTACAAAGCTGTTCAATGCAATTACATTACTCAGTGGCGGAAGGGAGAGCAAGGGGATGTGCACAAATTGCGATTGCTATGCAAAGTTCGAGAGCACTTGGTGTAAAATCAACTTGCTTCGGTTCTCTGTTCGCCTATGCCCAGTCAGTACAACTTGTTACTCGATGCCGACGTCAAAGGAAGCCGCGAAATTCATTTTTTATTAACGATTGCCGATGATTTATGTACGTACACATATACTTAAGTATATGTATGTATATGTACGAGTATACAAAAGTATCGATAAAATTATCATTAGCTTTGACGGGGGGAAGCAAATTAATGAGCAAAAAAAAATATTTCTATAAAATTATATAAATTTGCACCGCAAAAATTTTGCGCCACTTTTAAAAGAATATTAAGTGTTACGGTAAAAATTAAAAAAAAATTGAAGTGAAAAGGGGTTATTTGCAATGCATTGCTCAAAAAACTTAAATGCTCGCCAGCTGCTAGTGCTTACTCGGTCTTCGTTCAAGAAATACGCTCGGCGATTTTAAAATCAGGGCATAATGATCAAACATATGTATGTACATATGTATATACAGGGTGTACAATTTAAATTCAAATTAAACGTAAAAAATGCACTAACAAATACTTTTAAATAAATTGTTCAAGAGATTCTCATTATATTATAAATTTTGAACCTTGGCATTAGACAAAACATAAAATTTAACAAAATTAAATTAAATTAAATTAAATAAAAAGAAAACTAAAATAAAAAAGAAAATTAAATTAAATAAAAAAAACTGAAATAAAAAGGATTATTTAACTTTCTTTTAATAAAATATAAATACATATAATATAAAGTAAACAACCGAAAAATAAAATAAATTAAACTAAAATATAAAAATAATCGAAAGAAAAAAAAATAAAATAAGAAAAAACTTAAATATAATAAAATTAATTTAAAAGAATAATAATATGATAAAATAAAAAAATGTTATAAAATTAAATTAAATTAAATTAAATAAAAAAATTAAATAAAATAAAATAAAGTAATATATAATACAATAAATATAATAAAATAAGAAAAAAACTTATATATGATAAAATTAAATTAAGAGAATAATCATTATATAAACTAAAAAATTTAAAAAAAATTAAATAAATTGTAATATAAATATTATATGTGAGACATTACATCTTTCCTATGACCGCCTCGCTGTTTTCTACCTTTCTCCCACAATAAAGCCACATTCGCTCGAGTTGAAGGGTCTGTGGCAACATCTAGTTCAAGCCGCACTTTTTGTCCAACTCATGTTATTCAATCGCTAGTCAAAAACTCGGTTATCATACGAACTTAACGGTCCGAATTTACAGTCTCACCATGGTCGTTTTCAAAGAAGTAAGGTTCGGACCAAAGAGCACCAGACAGTAATTTTTTTTTTTGGTATAATAACCTCTTTTCAAATATATGAGTATTCTTTGAGCCCCAAATGCGCAAATTTGCTTATTCCCATATCCCCTGAGCTAAAAATGTGCCGCGTCACTAAATCAAAATTTGGTTCGAAAAATCGTCGTCCACCGTTTGACGTTCAAATACCCAATCGACGTAAGTACGGCACTGTTAATGGTCAACTGATTTCAATTGTTTTGTGAGATGAATTTTATGTGGATGTCGGTGTAAGGCCAAGTCCAAAACACGCCACAATGTGCCCCAAGAATGTCCAGCCTTTGGGAGCGTCGTGAAATAGACACGTTCGGGTCCTCGGCTACACTTTCAATTATGGTAGCAATATTTGAGGGGGAACGATGAAATCGATTACACACAGGCCTCGCAATATGTAAAGCCGCTACAGTATCTCGCACGAATCACTAGTTTTGTAGCAGGTTCTAATGGTTTTACCGCTTTGTGCGGTTGTTAGCGATCCATTTTCATTACTGCCTGACTTTTAACTAAAACAAAACATGTTTGGTTTGGCAACTAATTTTGACTCATGGCCAAATACAGCGCAGTAGTTCTAAAACCACAAAATGGATAACCCTATAATCGTTTTTTTTTTCGTCAGCTTGTGGTCTCATGGTTTCTGTAACCGAAGGAGTTTTCAAACGTCCCTGTAGTGGAAGTTAGAGGGGTAGTTCGACCGAGTATCGCCTTAGCGGTTACAAAGCGCTAATCATGCTTGTATGTATGTGCATATATATGTGTATATAGTATATATAGAGTGCAAAATATCATCAAGCAGTAATTTCGAATAGTCGTGGCGCACTTTCAGTGAATTTTGAACCTGCCTCGAAGTCGATATGTTGCTGGAAAAAACAAACTTGTTGTTGTTGAAGATCGTCTTGCAGATAAGTTCTTCTTCATTCCTTGACATATACTCTGCTAACCCGATTATTAACAAAGAAAAAACAGTAGTGTATATTCTATAAGCTGTGCGGCGAAAAATTGGAAATACTGAATGAAATCAGTTCATTCTTTACAGGAGTGGATTCACTGATTTCACCCTGGAGGAAGTGCATCAGACACATTTAAAGCTGAAGGCTCTCATCCATGTGGACGGCATGATCTAACCCGCGCAGCTGCTTTCTCTTAACTCGCTGCACTATCTCAACTATCTCTTACAGCCTATTTTGCCATCATTTGTGGGAAGCCCGCCGAAACCTCTCCGACTTTTGCCAACCCCAACGTTTCGAAACCATAAAGCAAAAAGGGAATGATAAGAGACTTGTAGATTGGGTTTTCGTTCGGTTGAGAGAGGACTTTCGTTTTCAATTACCTACTCAGTCGAAAGTAGCAGCTGTTGGCAAGTGTGATTCTGCATTGGATTTTAGAGCTGACATTGGTGTTGTTGTTGAGTTTGGTTCCAAGTTAGATACATTTTTCTACAACTTGAGAGTTTTGACTGTTGAGAGTGACGCCGGGAGCTAAGACCGTTTGCTGCTGGATTATAGCAGAAAGGTAGTCTTGACGCATTCGCCTCGTGTCTTTTTTCAGTCGGAAGAAATCATTAACAACGGCGTTGTTGTTGAGATCTTCTTATATAATGTAAATAAATAGATAACACTAACAAAAAAATATATACAAACATACATATATTTTTCTCTGTGTAACAGTCCATTATATCTACATACATATATACATACATACTTATATACGAATACAGTTTACTGTGTTTGTTTTATTAGAATTGGCCAATAACAATCGTGGTCTTGGCAATGCTCATTCTAACGCCAGTAAAGACGCATATTTATGATATAAATTTTCTAGAGAAACTATACATACATACATACGTTCATACATATAACATGTATGTATGTATATATCTGGGTTCATATACGAAAACGAAATCGTAATAACGTCGACACGGTGGAGTGTTTTAGCAAAAAGCTTCGTACATACATATGTATGCACGTGTATATGCACAATTTGAAGTGCATTCATACATATACATACATATATGTATGTATGCATATGTGTACCTATCTAACTGCATTTGTGGGTAATGCAAAAAATATATTTTTTACCTGAGCATAAACTTTAATTTGTATATATGTACATATATACACATCGTTATATGTATATTTCTTTGTTACTCTCAAAGTAGAAATTTCGGCTTGTAGGGTATATAATTTGTTTAAATCATCAAAGCAATGTGTCATAGAAAAACAAGCTTTGCTTGTAAGTATGTATAGACGTATATATATATATATGTACATATATATACACACGCCACAAATGAGATTGAAAGCAACAGCTAGCAGTCATGATGACGCGTCAGACGTCAACCATCAAAGCGACAATTTTTATGTGAAGTGCCAGCAAGCAACAACACAAACAAAAACACTAAGCAAAACCATAAAAGTCACATAACGGTTACAAAAAAAAAAAAATTGTGAATTTAGCAAAAATAGTAGCTCGTGTAAAGAGGAACTGAATTTATATACGATTACACACATACATACCTACTCAATGTGTACATCTATACATTTGTACATACTTATATATTTCATATGAGTGTCCTCATGGGGTTGTGGTAAATTATGAGTTTCATTTTGGGGAGCAAGAAAAAAAAGCACTAAATCGTAAAATGCCAGTAATTGTTGAGCACAGTGGTATGAAAATGTAGAAATAAGTGCAGAAATGCATGACAAAAAATTTTCATATATTAATAATTATATATTTCTAAAAATACGCAAAAAAATGTGAAAAAAATTTAAGAATCTCTCTTTTTACATTTTTCTACAAAATTAATTAATTTAAATCTTATATACCAAAAAACCAAATATTTTGCTTAAAGAAATAACTACACCTATGTACATATTGTACCCTTTATTTACTTCTAATATTAATATCATAAATATATGTATATGTAAATGTGTATAATTGAGATATTTTGCGAAGAAGAATTTGATTTAAATAGTTTTTTTTCTAATCTCTCAAATAATTTAGTATCGACCTTGGCGAATATTCTGAATAAAATAATTAAAAAAAATTGGAAATAAGAAATGTTGTCTTCAGCTTTGGCGAAACATTTACATCTTTCATGAATATAAAAAATTTCGATGATTTTCACTGTCAATATTTATTTGAATTTACGTGTGTGGAATACCAAATTTCGCGCTCCTAGATGCTTTTTTGACGGATATATGATACAAATTTAGGTTAGTACCTTTTTTTATTCTACTCTTACATTCCTTAAATCGAAACTAATTTTTCACTTTTCGCACAAAAACTCTCACTCATTAGAACATATTAATGAATAGCCCACTAAGAATTTTTCTGAGTGGGCATTTTTTTCTTGAAATTAACCGAATTGCCCTGCTTTACTTTCAATCATCGAAGCACTTTCTACCCTCCATCCTTTAACATTTGTAAAATTGAAAACTAATTAAAAGTCAGATATGGATATCAGGCTGAAAGAGCAACCCGTTGAAAACCAACACATTGTCCTGCAGCTCAGACAAATTTATTTTTTATTTATTTATGAGTAGCTTTTCATTTCGTATTATATGGGATTGCCATTCCTTATCAAGGGATGACCACATTTAGGAAAAATACTTTCCATAATTTTAGCTACTAGAATGATTCGTTATATTGTTTTCGGAATTTCATCATAGCAAACTGTTCGACTTTCCCCATAACTTTAAGTTTACATCGAGATTAAGCTGCCTAAAATGGGACTTTGAGTAAATGATTGTTGAAACTTCACTCATATATGTAAATCACCCTACATACTCCATTCGATGAACATCCGGCATGGAAATCGTTGCAGGAAGGAAGTATGATCGATCGTTGAGTTATTGCAAGGCAGGCGAACTAAGCTTAATTATTATTATTTCCTATCATAATTTAATCTATTTAATTTTTAAGAGGCTACCAAGTAATTGCTTCGAACTAAAAGCTTCAACTCTTATTCTCTCACAAGTCAACGTTCCTACCGAATTTTATTCTTCATTTCTGTCCATTGATTTGAGGAAATGTTATTATCCAAGCTAACAAAACTTTGTACCAAGCTTTTCAAAGACTTTTGTAAAGGTTTCCTTGAACCTCGAACTTTTTGATAAATCTTCTCATTGACTTTCTCATTCACATTAAAATCCCAGAATTTTTTATCTTCCTTGCAATCCCGAGAGTATAGTTGCTCTTAAAAAATTCTCTTCAAGCCAATCAATAAGTAGTCTCCATTCATCACAGTTTTCTACAAAGCTCAATTCTCGAATAAACCAAAAAAAAATCATTTCAGTTTACCAGATCAACTCATTTAGAAAATATTGGTCTAGTAAAAAAAGAAACCATTATTTTTCCTTTAAAGTTAGAATTAACCGATTTATATTAAACACCGTTTCGCTTCATAACATTTTTCCATTTTGAAGTCCATTTCATTTGTATCCCTCGTAGAAGCAATTAAGAGTTTGGCAGTGGGAAAGCAGCTCATACTCGATGATTCCTCGATGCTAATCCCACCAAAAACACATGGAAACCTACCTGACCGCCAATTCAGGCTTGGAAAACGTTTATGCCGACTCACTGCCCTTCGACCACAACCATTTTTATTTGACGTGTTGCTCTAAGTGCTCCGCTTTTCATCAACACTCTCCATCTGTTTCAATGGTGGATCGGTTTCTTTAAGCCGCAGCAGCGATTCGCAGTTGGAACTTCGGTCCATAAGGTTTTCTTTCGATAACTCTTTTTTGGCTCACTTAAAGCAAGCTTCTTTGCGAATCCAGCCCTTCCTTCCTTTTTCCTTCCGAACTTTTTTTATTGTGCAAGGCTTAGCTTCTGGCCATGGAGATAATGCTCGCATGACGGTCCGATACGACAATTTCCATTATTTTCTTGACATTATAAACAATTAATCCAAACCTGCACACCGTACA